TAGTATACATTAAATCTATGTTAATAATTCTTTTTCCTATTAACTACCTCCTTGGTCCGGCAAGTAGCATTAAGGCGAGTTCTAACGTTGGCCATCGTTAAAAAGACTTCTAAATGAAAGAATTATTAATACATGCAAGACACTATTCTAGAATTGTTATTTTAGTTAGGGTTTATCTCATTATTTGCCTATGGTTACCACAACCCTAGTTATGGAGTTTAGTTACTCATAGCCATAATCACAATATTCAAATATGTTATATAAGAATTCATATACTTACTTCAATGAGAAAGATTAAAATCCGAAAGTTTGCTTGATTAATCACCAAAAATCGCTTGCAAGAATCTCAAAGTAATCAATAATCTCACAAAGTCTCAAAGTAATCAATGGTCAATAATCCAGAGTCTAATAATATGATGTCTAACAATACAGAGTCTAACTATCTGATGTCTCCCCCAAAAACGAGGTTTTTTCGAACTATTTATAAAAAAATAAAAACCTGATTAAACAAGGATTCTAATTGCTGTAAATCTGTCAAAACGCGGCTGGGTCGAAGGACCTCGCGACGGACCGTCGTGGTTACAATGGACCGTCGTGGACTCCGTCGTCCCATACTTGTGCAATTTCTTCTGCTGTTCTCTTCATTCCCCTCGATGGCAAGTATGACGGACCGTCATAGGCACAACGGTCCGTCGAGGGTCTTCGTTCTAAAACACTTCAACTCTTGGAATCTAGGTACTGGGATCACTTCTCTGAACTTCACGACGAACCTGCAGGACGGACCGTCAGAGACACGACGGACCATCACAAGCTTCGTAATCCCACACTTGGTCAAACTTCCCCATCTTCCTTCAGCAGCTGCACTACGCTGCCACCTACGGACCGTCACAAGCACGACGGACCGTCATAAGCTCCGTAGGTGGTCTCTTCTGCAGTTCTTCGCTTAAAATCTCCGCATTCAAGCTTTGGACAGATTTCCTGCAAAACAAAGAAGAAACTTATATAAAAATTAGCAGAAAAAGGCTTTTGGACACACTAAACTTAAGGGAAAAGTATTAATAATACCGTGAAACCACAGTATATCAAAAGACCATTTTACCCCTAGACCCTCCAAAACTAATATTTTCCCTTTTTTTGTCCGGTAAAGACTTCTTCAAGTAAATCTTCGTATTCGATAACCCTACATGATTGGTCCCAACCTGTACAAGCTGAACTAACTCCCCAAGTTAGTTTGCTTGGCTGTAGCAAGGGTTCCGAGGTCTGGTTCTACGCGCATCAATCCATGTAAACCCTGGTTTAATCATAGGCATTCTTGACACATTAAGCATTTCTTATCTTATCTATTTTTAGGGTTGTTACATTATCCCCCCCTTAGGAACATTCATCCACGAATGACACTACTCTTTACTAACAATAAGTAAGTCATCTATATAACGTACGCATGCATAGGTAATCCAATACTCCCCATTGGTGAATATCTGATTCACATATTAACATGATGGTGCACATCCTTGAAACCTACTAGTAGTTTCACATTAATAGACTAAGGAATTCTTTCCTAAACTAGTCTCATCAAAGCATACAACATAGGTAAACATTTAAATCATACAAATCGGCAACCAACATGATGACTCAAACATATTAACCTTATACTAGTGCATACACACCATACACAGTCAAATACCTGAAGAACTAATTAAGGCTACTCACCCGAGACTTCACCAGAGATGCCTTCCCATGCACCCCTAGACTTGAGTGCGAAGAATCATTGCCTCCTTGGAGCCTCTTCACTTGGACCATTAGGCTGGACTCTCTCCTTGTTCTTGACTTCTTCTATTCGGACAATCCTTCACCATGTGACCCGGTTTGCCACAACTGTAACAAGCGTTAGTGCCCATTATACACTCTCCTCCATGTAGTTTGCCACACTTCCTGCAAGGTTGTCTCTCCTAAGGTGTATCTACTTCATTATTTCTTTTAACTCTGGACTCGGAATCCCTGTCATAGTGACCCTTGGATGAATTTGACTCCCTTGGTGGGAGAGTCCCTTCTTAAACTTGGGATTATCCCTGATTCCAGTACTACTCTTCCTTGAAAAATTCTCCTTAGCTTGCCTTAACCTGTTTGTGCTTCCTCTTCCTGATTTCCTCCACTTGCTGGACATGGACCATAAGCGTGGAAAGATCTATGCTATCATGCAGCATAGCTGCCCTACACTCCTCCACGAGATCCTCAACAATCCATGTCAAGAATTTAATCAAATCGTCTCTGCTGTTAGACACAACCTTGGACTCTCTCATCTCCCTGGGGAAAAATCTCTCCAGGAAGGCTATCTTAAACAACTCCCACCTGACCGGAACTCCGCCCAAAGCTCGGCTATCCTGCCACATCTTGCACCAAGTTTGTGCAATATCCTTGAGATGATAGGAAGACAGCTCAACCTTCTCAGTATATGTGGCCCCCATGGCCACCAAAATCTTGTGTACCTCATGCATGAATTCCTGGGAGGATGAAGTCTTGGACCTTGTGAAAATAGGAGGATTCATATTTGTAAAGTCTCGTAGCCTCTCAGCCATACTACATACCGGTGGGTTCTCCCTTTGAATATTCTATCGATTGACCTTGGCAGTCATGGCTTGAGCTTGCATGGTGATGGACTGTACCATCTGGGCCAGAGATGCGCTCACCTCAGCATCAGTCAACCCAGCAGGGTTAACTGGCATGGCTACTCCTTCAGCTGGAGCCTGGGGTGGAACTTGATTGTCCCCAGCAGTTGCTACTCCTCTCTTCTGACCAATAGTTCTCCTAGTGTTCATTCTCTGTAAACAACATTCAATTTTAGACACGCTCATAACACCAAGAAGTCAAACATTAGGAAAGGAACGATAAGATCAGAAGAAGGGAAATTTTCCTACGCATCATGCAGAACTACCATGACTTTGAAACTACTCAATGTGGTTGATGTGAACTTATTATTTCTGTAATTTAACCTAGTACTCTGATACCAACTTTGTCATGATCGGAGTCTAGACCCCAGACGAGAACGGCGTCATTGACCTCTCAGAGGTCGTAGACAAGCCTACTTACGTCATTTTTACTTCATCTAGGTTAATTTTAGCGAAAAATTTGAAACTTTTTGTTTCTTAACATACATACTAATCATCCTATTAGATTTATAATTGTTCACCATCAACCATCTAACATTAAGATCATCAAATGAAATAAATAGTTTATCATAACATAAAAATGTATACTTGCCAAAATGGCACCAATACAATGTATCAACAAAAGCGGAAAGAAACGCTAGAGGAACATACTCCACTAACTCAATCCTATAACTAAGATAGAATATAATGGGCAAGCATCCTCGAAAGCATAAGGGCCTACCAAGTCTGGATGAATGCTCCACATTCATATAGTTTCAGCGTCCACCCATAGCTTTAGCGTCCACCTGTGCCTGCACCTAAAATTGTAGAGTTGTATGGGGTTAGTACACACTTGTACTAAGTGTGGATATATGCAAGCACATACCAAGGACATGGATGATTAAGAATAGCTCTTTCCTAACAAGATGATTGTAGAAGGTCAAGTTAGTGGACTTGCCAAATTGAGATTAGGAAAGTGAGTGAGCTTTCCAAATTTGGATTAGAAAAGTTTATGAGCTTTCCAAACTTGGATTAGGAAAGTTATATCATTAGAGTAACATGCATTATTATACTTAACATTTTGCACACAACACATAACAGCGTGCACATAGCACATATCATTTTTTATATAACACATAACGTTGTTCATATCATTCATTCATATGCCATGAGACCTTTGAATCATGGGTTTGACATTAAGAGTAAGAAACTCTCACACCCTTGCCTCTTTCAGTTCTTGGGCAAAGAAACGTCCCGAGAAAGCCTCTTCAAAATAGGCCTAATGCCTAGATTCACATTCCTTACCCTAAATATGAAACACATGCAAGCACAAATTAGAAATAAACTCTAACACACGAAAAGGGATATGAAAGAAGCGAAGAAATTTCTAAATGTAGCAGCCTCCTAATCATAGGTGTGATGCGCTTCACACTGATGACTAAGACTCTACGAACACGGCTTCATGACTCCCTAGGACTCTTGGACTTTTGATCTGATACTAACTATGTCACGCCCGAGCCTACACTTTGAACGTGGTCGGCACTCGATGACCATTGCTGGCCTCGAGCGAACCCTTGTTCTAGTATACTTAACTCAGTGAAAGACAATAATTATAACTTAACTAAAAAGAATATCATAACTAAGAATGTTTATAAAGATGAAACATTCAAACTTAGCCGAAAGCTGACAAGTCAAGTCTTAACAAAAGGAATAATACTGAAAAAATCAAAAGACTAACATTAGTCTGTATATCTATGAAGCCTCTAAACTGAGATGGATCTTGGGACAGACCCCACAACATCCTAGTAACAAAAGTACTGAAAATCAATAAATGTGTCCTCCAAAATACAAGGAGGCTCACAAATGACTCCAAGTGCAAAGCTGGATCAAGGGGGCGCTGGATGCTGATCCTAGTTACTTGTGTCTGCATCATAAGACGATACAAGCGAATAAGCAAGTTTGAATATCAAAAGGGGATAGAGGTATAGGCAAACACTTAACTGTATCCTTACCCCCTTGACAAAATTTGATAAATTCTTGCATTTTCCTCTCCCTTAATTCCAAGGAGAAGAACCTATCAAGGGAAGTCGTCTTGCATGATGCCCCCATAGCATCTAGCACCTTAACCACATCATCAATGAACCTTTGCGGGTCCTCCTCCACTTCGAAGCCAAAGAAAGTACAAGGACCCGAAACGTTAAACTTTTATTTATCTACATAAAAAAAAGACTCAAAATTCAACAATAAATTGACATTAATATATATAATTGCTATTGTTAATACGAATGTATTTACAAATAAACAAATTTGCATAGATTATTTGAAAATATTCAATCGAGTGTTCAAATGCAAAAGTGAGGGGTAAATTAGAAGAAATCATAGATAATCGTAGGGATAACCCACTCTGTCCAATCATCCAATAGACAGGTGCTGACGTCCCCCTCTTCCGGTCAGATGTACGGCCAACTTCCCTTTCCCATTCCTTATCCCATTCCCCCGATGTTTCTCCCCCTCACCTCCGATCCACCTTAGCACCCTGCTCTCTCTCTTGCAAACTTCAAATACCGATCACGCCTGAATCGGAGTCGGTCGCCGATTTTCTCTCTTGTATGGAGAACCAAACTACTACTCAGAACACCTTTAGGCCTCACGCTGGAGGACGTGAAGACTGCTGGAGTGAAGGTGCTACTGAAACCCTAATCGAAGCATGGGGCGATCGCTATCTCAGGCTTAATCGCGGTAATCTCCGGCAGAAGGACTGGAAGGAAGTCGCCTACTCCGTTAATTCACGTCAAAATGGAGTTAAGCCTCAGCGCACTGATGTACAATGTAAGAACCGGATCGATACTTTGAAGAAGAAGTACAAGCTTGAGAAAAACAAGTCAACTCCTTCAAAGTGGCCCTTTTATAACCGTCTTGATTATCTCATCGCAACCAATAATGTTTCTGCCTCACCGTGTAATAGAAGACCGTCTGCCTCGATATCACTTGCCGTTAAGGAAAAAATTAGCCCCGACTCAAACTTTGGTGCATTGAATTATTCAGGTGGATCATCCAGGTTGAATTCAAGTGGTTCAAATGACAGCTCACATGATGATTTGGCCTTTGGGAGTGGAGAGAGGAAGAATAAGATGGAGTACGTAGGGTTATCCGAGGATACCACCGCATTTAAGGAATTAGCTAGGGCAATTTTGAGGTTTGGGGAGATATATGAAAGGATTGAAAGCTCAAAGCAGCAGCAGATGATGGAGTTGGAGAAGCAGAGGATGGAATTCACCAAGGACCTTGAGGTACAAAGGATGAATATGTTCATGGAAACTCAGTTACAGATTGAAAGGTCTAAATGTGCTGCCAAGCATCCCCCTTCGGCAGGTGAAAATTTAAGATATTTACTGTACCTGTTTGCATTTTCTTGGCTTCGGAAAAATAAATCTATTCTGTCTGAAAGCTGGGATTTCCTAAGATGCTGAAGAACTAGTAGAAATAATCTGTCTGAATTGAGTACTTGAAGGGGCTCTTTTGGTGTAATTTACAAACCACCTTGTTGTATGTTCTTAAAAGCAGTGAACTTTACCTAAAACATATTATCCTGTTCTTCACATGATCAATTTGATCATACTTGAAGTTAGAGCGTTGAACTATCCTTAAGAGATCGCTGATAATTCATTAGTATGGTTTCCAAAGGCCCATTTTCTGAGTAAAATTGTCAATTAAAGACGTTTTTCATGAGTGCATAACCGATCATGTTTGCAGTTAACGATGCAAGCTATTGGTTGTTGGCTGTATATATCTACATAGTTGTTGTGTTACAAGATCCTCATAGTTCCCCGCTTTTTTTGTTATACTTCTTCTTGCGTTATTAGTTAAATTATTAAGTCTTTATAATTACTGCTACGTAACTGATGTTTATTTCAAACTTTCTTTTTATTAGTGATTGTGATTGGGTCTTCAACTTTAGAATGCTCCTAGCCACATTGCGTCCTAGCTTTCCATAGTTTTCCCTAATTTTCTAGAACTTTGTGCATTCTCCAGCAGTTATAAGAGTGTATAGTTCATATGTTTGGAAGATGCAGTTAGAGGAAATGTGAGCTGACTGGTAGGCAAGTTAGAGTTTTAGATTTTTTTTACCTTGATAGTGTAAAACAAATATCTCTGACATCATAGCATGTTGCCTTCCTAAATGAGAATTGTTTATGGGTGTTGAATTCAGAATAAGTAACAATAGAGGATAAGGACAATACTCGAGGATAATTGGGTTATTACAATGAGCATAGTAAAAAAATGTATATAGGAATATGATTTTGAGTAGAACCTTTTCAAACAGCCACTAGTGCGATATGTGTAGGAGACAAGTTCATAATTGGTGAAAAATTTGATGCATGGCATGGATTATTCAACCTTTTGGGATTCTGACAAAGATGATAAATCAGGATGTAATATTGTAGAGTTGAGGAGTGTTATTAATAAGTTCCCCAAGTGATAATGTGGGTAACACTATACTATTATAGAGATCTCAATCATTTTTCGGTACGTGGTCTTTTCTAACTTTTGGGATGCGTGCAACTTTCATTACCTCTTTCCACTGACATTGTGCATGAGATGTTTTGATGATTGTCATATCCCTTAACATCTTTCTCTTTTCTGAATCTCATACTCTTTTTTCCTGAACCCTCTGTTATCTCATCACAACCTCTTTTGAAATCTTCACCCCTTCTCTCTTACCTAGAGACTAAAGTTTTTTAGTCGTGCTCTTATCTGCTACCAACTTCCTACTTCTTTTTGCCTACTCGTTTACTTGAGTACCAATCACTGAGAAACTGGAGCTTAGTATACGGTGATGAGATAGGTGTTTGATACAAAGTTGGTATGATAATATAGGGTGGAATATGGTATTTTTGGCTTGCAGCAAAAGTTTCAAGTTGTTAGAGGCAGCCAAGTGATAATTGGTTTGTACTGTTGAGAGGTGGAAAAGTTTTTTCGACATAATTACTTTTGATAAGCATTCTTGACCTTTGTCAATGTATGAAATTGGCTTCCGAGGGGAAACACAAGATATGTAGGAGATGGAGAAACAGCAATTAATTATATTCCTACCATGTCATTGTTACAATTCATGTGCACACATAAGTGTACGTGGTCGTCAAGTAATAACATGATTGTGATGCAGTTGAAAAGGTTGAATCCTACAGGGACTTTTGACAGCCAGTCTTGCGATATAACTATAGGAAAGTTGCATTAGTTGAGGGGGGGCGGGGGGGATCGCACCTTCAGCGAAGAAATAAGGTGACCAGCTGGAAGTTTTTGAAATCCCAACGATATTTTCTATATAAAAACAATCCGGAAAGCCTGATGTCTTTAAAGGACAGGGGAAACCTTTTTTTGGGTTAGTGTGCGCATGTATAGGACAAGTGCTTTCCACAAAAAAGGTAGTCTGTTTTGTTACTTCTAGTTTTACGATTTAAAGCATTAAGATTACAATGATTGAATTGGCTGTTTTGATAACACAATAAAAGACAGATTTTGGGGTTATGCCGCTTATATGTTCCACCCAGTGTCTGCGTCTAGGTTATCCTGCACATTACTACTGACCTGTTGCTTCACGAGATTAATAATAAGATTATGGTTTTCCCAACCTCTGATGTCCTTTTCGTGTTAGCCTCATACCTATATTGTTAAGCGATGAATGTTGGCTTCCACAAATGCATTTTCATATCCAATATAAAACATAAGTAGGGCAAACCTAGGTATATTTCTATCCTAGCTGTAAATCCGCTCCCGTAAGAATGCATCTACTCCATTTAACCTTATTCTATCTGAACTTCTGTCTCTCAAGTCCCTTTAGAAAATGTACATTTTTTCTACTGGTATTGAAACAGAAAAATAGTAATCATAAGGTTAAATGAATCACTCATGAGATAGTACTGCAATAACACTTAGATTACAATGCAAACTGTCATACTTTGGCCATAACCCTAGAAAAATAGATCATTTAGCCACTCATAATTCTATTACACTTGCAATCATGTTCAATGCAAGAAATAATGCTAATTAAAAAATTGATCCTAATAGAAGAAGTTGGGTCTGTTCTGTGCTCCAAATATTGATCCCCCCCCCCCACCCCACCCCACCCCTCAAAAACTTCCAAGGGTTTCTTACATAGTATGTGGAGAAGACTAAGAGGCTCCACCCAAAAATAGGTGGGACTTTATTGGCCACGTTGCCTGCGCTCGTGCTGCAAGAGCCCCCAACTTTTTTCTCCTCTAGCTGTTATAGATTGAGTTCTGTTAGAAACTCAACCCAAGCCTCGTGTCACAAGGGTCTGCTTATATTCCACACTTGGGCCTTTTTTTTGTGAGCTTTTCACCTGCGAATCAACATTACTCCTCAATTAGTTCTAGAATGCTAGTATTAGTTGGGAATATTTCGTGTTTACTCTCCAGACGAGGCATAAATGTGGGTGAAACATGGCCAAAAGACGCATTAATACGCCTAACATCAGTAATCCAAAACTTTAATTCTCTTGAAAGATATATCAGAGTCCTCACCGTGCAAGGGGCAATCAATCTATGATCATCATTCGGAGATTGAAAATAATGCTGGATGGCGGATGCACATATTTTGGGAATAAAAAAAAGGAGTTCTGTTGCAAAAGTAGCTCAAATCATGGCATGGCCTATACAGTATGAGATTGTGGAAAATGAATATCTTTAGTAAAAATAAGTTCTTAATTGGCAGATACTCTATTGAAGGTGAAATGGAATATCTAAGCAGATGTTGAATTAGTTCTTTTGGTTGTATTGCTATGATCTCATATGATCCCTCCCAGTAACATTGCACTACAACAATGAGTAGATAGAACTGGGAGTGACTATTTCTTTTTACCAGTTTTAAAGAAAAAGAGTGACTATTTCTTGTTTGATTTCCATTGAGGGTTGGGGTGAAAAGAATTTAACTGCAAGGTGGAACTTAGAAAAATCTAAGTTGTGTTTGGAGTGATGATCCCTGCCATGTCTAGATAAAGTTGTCTAGTTTTCCTGCTTATGCTAGAATCTCTTGAGGACAATTGGAGGTTAATTCGGTGGATCCTCAAAATTGATGAAGATACCAGAAATAAAGCATATATGAGATGAGCAAGGATGTGCGAAATTAACTGGTATCAAATTATTGGGTTCACTGAAGCTTATCATTGATGATCTAAAATTTGAGGTGTCATTATGGGTTGAGTCATAAGCATGGGTGGACAAGATAAGCTGGACTTGGAAATTCATATCCAGATGTGTCTGCAGCAACGCAGTGGTTCCCAATGAGGTTGGAATGTGTGAGAAGTATATTGGAGTACTGCAAAGTCAAAAAATGAATAGAGGATGGAAGCAAATGTTGAAGACCATTTCCTTGCAGTTTTTGAACTATCCTGTTGGAAAGGAAATAGAGATGCTTTGAAGATTAAAGACGTCATATCCCTTTTATAAAAAATTGATGCCTATACTTTTTGGTGTAAGTGTAGTGTGATAGAAACTCTTATCTTAGTATCAAGATTCTTGTGGATATAATAAAAACAACAATGTTGTGATCTCTCTGGTTGTTGTTTGCAATACCTTCTTGGTACTATTATGAAAGTTATCTTACCTTGTAAAGTAAATTAACATTAAAGAAATTTTAAACCTGTATGAAGAAAAACGTGTCAAATAAGGTTGAGTTTTGAAGGTGATATTGGCTAACATAATATATTGACTAAGGTTTGGTAAATAGGAATAATATCTTTTCAGCATTAATTTCGCCACGAGTTTTTTCGATCAGAACTATGCTGTTCATGAATAACATAACCATGACACCTCACCTTGAATTTGTCGTGTCAATGCATCCATCACCAAGGCTAATAAAAAAGGCTAAGGGCTGATTCCTGGTGCAACCCCATCCAAATTGGGAACTGCTCAGAGTCTCCTCCCAGTGTCCTTACATGAGTATTGGCTTCATCATATATACCCTTATTTTCCTAGTGTAAGCCACATATATACCTCTAGGCTCCAATCAACTCCATAGAACCTTCCTTGGGACTTCATGGTAAGCCTTCTCTAGGTGGATGAATATCATCGGTAAGTCCTTCGCTTCCATATATTGCTCCACCAGTCTTTTTACGAGATGAATGACTTCTGTCATTCAGGCCCTGACATGAATCTAAACAGGTTTTCAAAAATAGCCACGCCCCTCCTCCCTCTAATCTCCACCACCCTCTCCCAAACCTTCATATTGTAGCTTAGCAGCTTGATACCCTTTGGTTATTGCAATTTTAGATGTCACCCTTGTTCATGAACAACAAAATCATTGTACTTCACCTCCATTCTTCAGGCATCTTTGTGTCCTACAAACGACATTAAACAACTCTGTCAAGCACTCCACACCTGCCCTGTCTGCAACCTTCCAAAATTCAACCGGGATCTCGTCTGGCCCAGTCACTCTACCCTTATGCCAGGGGCGAACCTACATAGTGTCAAGAGGGTCCATAAGAACCCACTTCATAAAAAAATTTATATTGTATATATAGGTAGATTTGGTTTGTCTTCTGGACAATACATGTATAGATATTATATTGACTCCGGTTAAACAAAAGCAAGCCAATGGTCCAGCGGTAAAGTGGTTTCATTTTTGGAAGGAGATCCTGAGTTCGAACCAGCCAACAGCACAATACGCTTTTTTACTCTTTCCCAACACCAACCAACAACACAATACATTTGTTTCTCTTTTCCAACACATATAAGATAATTTAGGAAAGTTTTTCCAATATATTAATCTATAAAAAGAAGAAAAACTACACTATTTAAGTTTTTTCTTTTTTAAAAAATAACTAAAAATAGTTGTCAATTCAAATTCTTCATTGCTTTGTGGTTGAACCCTTTTTCTTGTGCTTTTCCTCATTATTCTGATTAAAGCATATATTTAAATTATTTATTTAATAAAAAAATTAATTAAATAATAACGATATATTAATTGATTTTTAATTAATAAAATTTAGTTTATTGTTTTCTTTTTTAAATCTCCTTCATATGTTGAACCCACATGGTAAAAACTCCTAGGTCTATTACTGCCCTATGCATCCTAAGAATAGCACCCTTAACCTCAACCTTTATACGCGACATGGATTATTACTTGTAAGCAAGTAGTCGAATTTTATGTGATATTTCTCTCATAGGAAGCAAATTGTATAGTTGAATTCAATTTTATTCTTGTTTGAACATTTATTTGATGCTTCAATTTTGAAGCTTGGCAGATGTGGTTTATCTCGGTGACTCGGTCAGTTTCTTTTCGACCAGAATGTTGGCACTTCTTTATGTTACTAAATCCTACGAAATCGAGCTCAACTGAAATAGTTGTCAAATAAGTGACCATTTTAGTGATTTGTCACTACTCTGTGTTCAACATTTTATTTGGCTAGTCATTATCGTAAATGCTACCTTTTTGGAAATTGGCATAAATTTTTCCTATGGCACTATCCAGTTCACCTCATTTTCTTTAACTTTTCGCCCTATTAATTATGGCCTTGTTTAATAAAAGCAATATATGATTACCAGATAAACACCTTCTGATAGGTCTTAACTGTGGCATCTCTAGGGCATCTTTCGTATTGCTGGCTCATTAACTTTTCATCTTTAGTTCTGGGTCTAGCTACTTATCTTGGCTTCATCTGGACATATATACTAGGATCAAAGGGTTTCTCATTTATAACAAGCAAATACTATGAGTATTTGAGACAACTGGAAATCAAATAGCAGCTGCACATGGTCTATTAGGAATCGTTTTTGAAGTTAAGCTGTGGTTTACATTCTGGCACTCACTCTTTCTTTAAAATCTGGAGCTTACTGTAAAGTTAAAAACATTTGAAAAAAAGGAACTATAACTGTACCTTTAATTTCTTTATTAGATGCTTGACTATGCCTTCATTGCAACGTCGTCAAGATGTTATAGCTAAATCTGAGCATTGGCTTGTCTGAACTAGAGTGATCTGTATCTTTTCTGGCTAAAGGTTCCCCATCCCCATACCTTACTCTGTTTAGGAACTATATTCAAAAGATTGCTGTGATTAGTTGCGAGCAGGATAATTGTAAGGGCAAAACTAATAACAAGAAAATCTACAGGGATCTGTTTGTTTTTAGAATCCAATTGCTAGCTTTTGTGTTTTTCTATAGTTTTTTCACTTTCTTATCATTGGGCCAGAGTGGCAAGTTGTCATCCGTTTCTATGGTGTTTTTTTTAATTACTTTTCCTCTTTCTTCCTGTGAATGTGTAAGACTGAGAAAGGAAGAAGTGGTCCAGTTACACTTTGTTTCATGGACTTGTATGATGTACTCTTATATTTTATACTCAGGATCTTTAGGATAAGCTAGGGTTCCTTGGAATTATAGTAATTATCCCTGTGGAGCAGAGTTTATGATTTTACTTTTCCAGAATTCCTGATACCAAATTGTCATATAGTGTGGAAAAAGATTCATGTTCAGTTCTCATCGTTGGGCATATTAATTGTTAGGATTGGAGTGTGAAATTCTATGAGGCACAAGATTTATCAACTTCTGCCTTGGAAACAGTAATGTAAAAGTTTGCACTACTTCTTTAACATAGGATTCTCTCTCCTTATCTCTCATTCATGCACAAATGTCACATACTGAGCTGTTTTTCTATTTCATTTAATTTTTTTAAAATCCCCCTTTGCTTTTAAGATTGGTAAGAAATCTTCCTCTACCTTTGGTCTTTACCTAGTGATTGAAAGTCGTCAGATGTGTTTGTATTGTTGAATGATGTCAGATGTTGCTATACACTTGAGCCTTATTGCTTAGTTTTTAGGAAGACGTTCCATTTGCTAACCTTGATGTATGTTTCACAGGAAAATAGTTTTATGCAGCAGTCACATCTACTTGGGCAAGAAATAGCTGCTGACCAAGGGCTAAAGTCACACAAAGGTGCTTGTAAATTTTTCATGTAGTTGACAGAAGAAGCTCAAGAAACTATGATAATGCTTGTATTTGGATCTGCCATGTTTGTGTACATGATATGTTGTTATGCTACAGATTAGTTGTAACTTGATATTTATTAGGGTGATTTTTTTTTCTTTCTATTTTTACTTAAAATAAGTAGGTGAGTATTAGCTGATGTTTCACCGACATCTTGATGAAAACAGTGACTGGGTTTATCACAGACTTGTTTACAATAAATCTGCAGTATTGTAGTGAACAGAGAATATTGAGGGTGTAAGAAACATTCAACTGCCTTGATACTTCTCTCTGTTAAATGATTAATGTATGTACTTCCATTATTCATAATATCATAACCCCGACTTCTGGGGTGTCGTTTGGGCTGAGCTCAGAAGCTCTGGCAGGTTGGCACATTACTGGATCGTTCTAACTAGAAACCGTAGGCTGGAGATTCTGGCTCATGCGCATCAGGAATAGAGGAATCAATGGTTCTTTGTAGTTGCTAACTAGTACCTGCTTCTCACATCAAAGTTATCCCTGTCATAGATGTGAATGTATGTAAAGTTGGCTCACGAATCATTGATGACGAACTATTCTTGATGTAAGACGAACAGTGGAACTGGAAGTGGAACAGTGTTAGCTTGTCACTCACTAGTGAGAGAAAATGAGTTTTTACTATTGGAACAAATATCAAATTTATAGTCAACTTCGTCTTCATAAAAGGATATATATATAACTTGCACTCAAACCTAATTAACCAATTACCTATAATGTTTAATCTTTGGCCGAACCGAAACAACTTTTGCAGGTGAAGACTCACTCCCTACACACACGGGTCGTAAGTGGACCTACAGGTCGTGCTGTTGAGTCTTAGGTCAGGCCGTCAGCTCCTAAAAGGAGTCCTTGACCCACGACCCCTTCCCAGGAGGCGTGGGTCCATCTATTGACCGTAGATGCCATCCGTGGGTGGCCTTTTTGGGCAGTTTTTAGTGAACTTGTTAGGGTTTTCCTCAAGGACCCTTGGTTGGTCCTTGGTGAGTTGTACCTTGAAGATTAACCCTATAACCTTGTTTTAAGCATGGGATGTTATTCTACAACATAAAATCCATAACAAACTCAATAATACACTTGTTAGACTCTAGTTTCACCTACTAGTTTTTCGGATCGTTACACTATGATAGTCTTACGTATATATATCTGAAAGAACAAATTTCTTGAAGAAGTTTGGAAGAAAAACCTAATTTGTCTTGAGCTTGAAGAAGAACATTAGCTTTCTTCAAGGAAACCTTTGAGCTTGGAATCTTGGGGATTGATATTCAGAGAAGAAACTCTTTTATGAAGTTCTTAGAGCGGAAAAACTTGAAAGAAATATTGGAGGGAAAGTTTCTCTTTATATCTTGAATTTTTGACATGAACTATAGGGTTCTTGATGGAGAAGAGGAGCTCTAGGTGAGTTTTAAGAGAATATTTAAAATAATCGAATGATTAGATAAATGATTTTGACAAAAAAAACCTGTTAGTTGGATGATATACTTCGTTAAAACACCCAAAATTCATTTAGAATAGGATTAAAAAGCTTGGAAAAGGACTAAAATTACCCTAAAACACGTGAATAAATTTTTGAAAAGAATCACTCTGCGCTCCGTGTAAAATTCTATCATTTGTAGTACAAGCCGTGGAACATTGGTTGTCTGGGCTTCACTAAAACGAGCATTACTTTTTATTCTGAACTCGAGATAAGGGCATTGGGAAGAGGACTCATAGATTATTAATTTGATACGTCATGAACCACCTAATTCATTATATTTGGAGAGATATGATCTTTTCAAGTTGACCTAAGTATAATCTTATCTCAAAAACTTAATCGGTAAGCTTTCAACTCAACTTTGTCCTAGAAAACTCTTTGACCTTAATTCATATCTAAATTTATTCCACACTAAATAATTGAGTTTAACACTAAGCATAAATAAGAACCACCCGAATAGACCTAATACATAAATGAAGCATAGTATGGATCTTACTTTGAAATTTCGAAATGTATTAGGTTACATATTTTACTACTCTTCAATGTAATATTAAAGGTAAGTTCACAGTATATAGTGAATACATAATTATCTCATTTTTTGCAACTATATGGTGAAATTTAGGATGAACTTCTATGTCGTAAAATAGAATGTAGAGAAATAGATGCTTGAACAATTTATGAAAGATCGTTCAGTATGGGAAGTCAAGGAAAGATGCCTTCTATTATCAGATGACAATTTGAAATGTTGTAATTTATGTCAATTTTCTTAAAAAAATATGTGTAGTTTAAATAATGATCAAGAAAAAAATCATCCATTAATTTAATAAGATCATTTAACATCGCACGAAACGTGGAAAATTTGCTAGTTAATACATAAAATACAAAATTTCAAGTGACTAAATTAAAAGAATATATAATTTAAAGCATCTAGTTCATTAGTGAAAAAATCAAAACATAAATAAACATAAGAATTAGTCAAAAAAATATATTCATAACTGATATATATGGTGGAATTTTTTAATAGAAAAGTATGAAAAATTGTCATTAGAATAAGTTATTAAGGTTATGAATTTTATTATGCATTGTATTAAAATAATGTGAATATACATGAGTAGTCCGAAGCCTCAAGGGCAAAATAAATAACAAAAATTTCAAAAGGGTACATCAAAAATTTTTCTAACCAAAAGTGCAAAATTGCTACTGACGTATCGATTTTGTTTTCGCGTCGTTGATTCTTTAACTGATCAAAATTGCTGATCTAGAAGCGATATTTTTCATTTTTTTTACAAAAAATAACTACCTGTGTAGCGTTTTTGCGAATATTTTTATTTTAAAAAATAAAATCACAGCTATGGTAGCATTTCTGTAAAAACGAATATTTCTTTTTCAGAAATCGCTGTCATGACAGTGGTTTTCATTGATCTTTTTTAAAAAACAATTGCAATGCAGCATTTTTTATAATTTTAGGTGAAAATATTAGTTTTTTAAGGCAGCAATTTCGGTGAAAATTCTTTTTTTGCCTTGGCAATAATTTTAGTGGATTTTTTTTATTTTAAAAATCGTTGTCAAGGTAGCGATTATAGTAATTTTTATTTTTAAAATATAGCTACAAATTTTGTTTTTTTAAAAATTGTAAATTTTGTTTCTTTTTAATTCACTGACAAGCAGCAAAATTTCCTTTCAAATTTCTTTTGTTTTTTAATTGTTCAAACATTCACTTTCACATTAAAATAAATTTTTCAACTGACATGGATGCCTAAAAATAGAAAAGTTCACATGTTTCATTGAAATTTTATTATAAATTGGTTGAAATCTTTCTTTAAACTTTTCCTTTAGAAAGTATAATTTTCAACTCTCTTCAAACTTTTTCAAAAGTTTTTCCTTTTTAAGGTAAATTTGGATTTATTTTATTTTTGATTTGAAGGCTTAATATTTATCTTTTATATGGTATTGTGAATATATTCATCTTTAAATAATTACATTAACATTAACATTTATTTTTATATTTTGTATATAAATATACACCCGTCAAATATGTACGTCTACATCATGATCCAATATAGTATGATGTATATAAAAATTCAAGTTCATCATCGTTCTAAAGAAATTTGGAACGGTAGCTTAAGAAAAGAAAATTATTGCCTATATACACGTCGTGGTGATGCTGAATTTGACAACATATAAAATATCATCCTCGCATTCGTCAGTATTTTAAAAATTATAGGTTTAAAAGAATTCTTGATGTAGGATGTGTGTCGTATGACTCTGGACTAGTTTTTGCTTTAATTGAAAGGTGGCGTCCAGAAACGCATATATTTCACATTCGAACTGGCGAGGCTACCAATATTTACAAGATGCAGAAATTTTGTCTGTAATGGTTATAGATGGTAGTCCTATAATTTTAAATGGCTTTGATACTTTAGGAGTTTTGAGTAGACAAGAAATGATGTTTGCATCAATGGGATGGTTACCTGAGAATGATTATTTTTCTAGTGTTAGGAGATTGTTAACATATAAATTAATTGAGCATATTGAGCTAAACATGACGTGTAAAAAAGGTTTAGATTATATTTATTATGGTTATGTGGTGAATCAATATTTGCAGATATATCTAATAATAAACTTAATTTGAACCTTTTGATTGACATGAAAAATTTAAATGTAATTTCAATACGAGCATGGGGAGTAGTAGGAATATCATATTTTTATAATTGCTTATGTTGTGCATCAATGAAACAATCAAATGAAATTTTGGATTTCACTCTTTATGCAGGTATACATTTTTAATTATTTTTATATTTTAGTAAATATGCACTTCTAAATTTAATTATATTCTAAGAAATGTTAATTTTAGTTATTCTGGACTTGGGCATGGTAACTTATATTCCCCTACAATCATTACTGAAATCTCTAAAGACCAAACAACTTGAGGCTTCAACTGCGTTTGCACGTAAATGGATGCGACGTAGAAATAATAAAAATACAATATAAACTGTTATCGATGTGATTAGGGATATACTGAAAAATCTAATTGATGATTCGATATTTAAAATTATTAGTATTTTTAACTATTCATATTTGTATCCCATTTTATTTAAATTTTTAACTATTCACACTTAGATTTCACTATCTAAGAAAATCATGTGAATATAATGACATGGACGAAGATATTTGGTAGGTCCTCAAAATAACATATTAATGTACATATTTATTTTTATTTTTTTGTAAAAAAAATTTAATAATTATCTCACTTATATTTTTTTATAGTTTATTTGGTAACATTATTTAGAAGATGTTATTAATGGATTGTTTGAGTGTTGTCGGTCAATGCAATATGTTTGGATGACATTTGTATCACTCATTTATGGAATTTATCGTGAGTGGCACATGATTGATCGTGTTGTCAGACAGTTTGATTATCTACAACATATTTTTGGACAGTGTATCTATTTTTTCGAACATCATTTTAAGCGTGATAAACGATCTATTATAAAATAAGAGGATATAGATGTGTTTAACTATATACAATATGTATGGGAACAATGTCAAAGTTATATATTTCGATCTGCATTTATAAGTGGTTAAGCAAATTACTTGCATAGGTAGATGAGGTATTTTTCGCATGTTCATTAAAAATTCACAACATGTTGTACAAAGAGGATATGAACACATGACAGAAAGACATGAGACATTAGTATGTATATTATGAAAATTTAAATTATTATATCGATATTTAAAAAATAATAAGATTTTTTTATTTATTATAGTCTAGGAGTCATGAAATACAGCATCGTCGAGCTGGGATAATTGAAAATGATGAAAATCAATATATTGAAATGAGACAATATGCGGAGGAAGTCGTTCGTATTTCAATGGAGTCAATAAATGCGGTCTTCCAGGAAACGCGATTGAGCTTTGCTCCTGATTACAATCCTCCCACTCAACATGATGAACAACCACCAGTACAAGTATCTCACCGATCACGACAAACAACACTTAGAGATGATGCACGTCAAGGTAGAAGGACCGCAGGTAAAGGTCGTGATCAAAATCAACCGGAGTATCATTTGATTGATGAAGATAATTTGATTGATAATAACACACAATTGATGGCTACTCCCAAGTCTTATCATCCCACATTTGATTTTTCTGCAGGGCCCTCTAACACTAATGCTAATTTTTTAAGTCAGAAAATAATTGATTTTGTAATTCCACATGTTTCGATATCTGATTTTGCGCAATTCAGCGGATTTCGATATGGTATTCAACATGATATGTGTGAATTGCCTATACATAATTCTCCATTTGGCTAGAGGTTGAATTTTTCAAAGGCAAATATGATAATTCTCATTGAAATTTTATAATTTTTTATTAATTATATGTGCATATTTATTTAATTATATTATATTAATTATATTATAGGTAATCGTGTTCCATGATCCAAGATTTAACGCTGAAAATTTACAACATTCAATTTTTGAATTATAAAATTCACCTCGAAGAACTTCCAGACTACATAAATCAACTAGATGTGAAACAATCACTATCAAAATGAGAAATATTGGAATGATTGTGAAAATGAAGATGTACAAAATTCAGAAAACTCAGAAGAGACGTAACTTTTATGTATTTTTATTCGAAAGGCTAAAGAGTTTCATGCAGTAAATAAGATTTTTATCTGTGTTGAATTTGTTATTTCATGTAAATTTCAACAAAGTATGAAATTTATTATTTTGTGCAGTGAGATTCTCCTCTTTATTTTCAACATTTGCAAGTTTTTTTTTTTTTTTTTTTTGTGTAGTGAAATTCTCCTCTTTATTTTCAACATTTGGAGGATGTTTTTTTTCCTTTAAGTTATGTCAAATCATTACTTTTTAAGTTAGGTCAAATCATTACATTTTAATTTAGGTCAAATAATTTCTATAATTATAATATAAATACTGTGTATTTACAAAATATTAAATTATCTTTTTACTTTTTAACTCACTTGAAAGATCAATTTAATCAATCTATTTAAAATGCAACAAGACAGATTAAATTCATGTCAACGTTATTTGAAAATGATACATTATAGAGCAACTTTCACATATAGCAAACACAAAATCGTGTGTATGTTATAACTATAGTTTGCATAATTGCACTTCGTAGCAAACACAAATATGTATATTTCGCCATACATATACAAAAGAAAGTAGTTTTTACTATACATATACAAAAGAAAGCATTTGTATAATTGCTTTGGTATACATATACAATAGATGAATTGAATAATATGTGTTTGTATAAAGCGAAAAAGAGAGAAAGACAAAAGAAAATTAGGCAGGGGAGGATCATATTTTGTATAATCATAAGCGTGTAAGACGAAAATATATACGTTTTTTATTTATATATACAATTTCTCTCTCTTTATACAAACACAAACACAAGGTATACATTTGTATCTATATAAAGTGAGACATGCGAGTGAGCGAGCGAGATCTCGGAGAGTGGTGAGCGAAATTTGAGAGAGGGGAGAGAGGAGAACAATAATGTATGTATATATACAATTTTCTCTCCCTTTATGCAAACACACACATATTACACATTTTCATTTTTGTATAAAGTGAGAGAGGCAAGTGAACGAGCAAGATCTAGGAGAGTGGCGAGAGAGATTTGGGAGAGGGGAGAGAGGAAAACGAAAATATATGTATATATACAATTGTCTCTCGCTTTATACAAACACAATCACATTTTATACATTTATGTTTGTAGAAAAAGCAAGAGAGGCAAGGAAGAGAACGAGAGTGGCAACCGAGATTCACAAGGAGAGAGGCAAAATAGCAACACTTTGTTATAGGGTACAATTAAATCAAACTAATTTATAGCATTTAATTTGAATTGATAGTTTTCTATTATAACCAATTTTTCCTATATTATATGATTAATAACGAGACATAAAAATTACATTCATCTTAAAAATATAGACAATATATTTAAAATCAAGTAGGACGTCTTGTCTTTGTGTGACCCGTTTCCTTACAATCACTATATTTTCTGGTCATGCGAGTCGGAGCTATATCCATATCATTCTTAGTAGACTTCTTACTTGCATACTACATGTCCGCAAATATTTAGTATTTGCAATTAAATTGAAAGGAGTTCGTGGTGAGTATATTTCATCACCCACTAGGGTAAGTATCTTGTGTATGTTTGTTTGTAATATTTTGTACAGTAGAATTTAATTATATATGATTCTGGCTTGATTTCGCGATATTCACAAAATTTAATGACATGTGAACAAGACATATGATAATTTCTCCATTTTTCACAAGAACATTTCTTACCTTTAGAATCCGGATTCAAATATACATGGATGTTAAAGTGAAGTATAAAAAAATTTTAAATGAATACTTTTGTAATTTCACTTATTTTATCGCAGCATTATTATTCCATCAGGGAAGGATAACTTATCCAATGTTATTTATTAATTTTAGAATAAATTATCTCAGATTTGTCAACAATACAACAAATTAAGTGAAATCATAATTCAACCGTAGAAATATTTGGTATTTTCCTTTAACACCAAACGACCTCTAAAACTTATTTTCTTTTCCCCTTTCATCTTGATTAAATACAAAATAATTTCCCTTCAAAAAACTAAAAATATTACATTCTTCCTCACTTAAAATAACATTCGTCCTTGAATCACTTAAAATAACATTCGTCCTTGAATGTATCCAAAAAGAAAAAAATTGAAATGCCAAAATATAAAACACCCACAATGCATATCTTACATATACTCTAAAAATAAATTATATTTTTTGAAACTCATTGGACTGCCTAGAAAATCATGGAATCCATCCCCACTAATCATAAATCACCAATAGAAAAAATAGATAAATTTCACAAAATGACCAGAAGAGTCTAAAAATCCAGTTTTGGCAGCTAGAAAAAGACAATACTCCATGGAATAAAATAAATCCAAGGGATGTTTGAATAAGTTAAGTTAGTCTACCAGCAGACGAAAGCATTTAAGGGGTCCCTCTATTTCATTTGACATTTACATATAATGGAATATAAAATTAGCCATAGGAATCATATAATAAAGTTTGCAACCTAGAAATGTCCTCCAAATGGCAGCAATTTAAGACTTTTGCTATCCCCCTTCAACTAGCCATCTAACTGTTACCTACAGAAGATTACAAGTAGAAGAAGTCATGACCTTTTTCCCCTTTGCAGAATTTAAGAAAGTTTCTATAACTAACAAACTTAAATATTACCTAGTCATGAAATAGCAACGCGTACAAGCATGAATGAACTCATAGTCTCCTCAGTATATCCCACAACTGGGAATATGCTGGAAGCACTTATTCACATCTCTAACCAAGTATTTTCAATGGTAAAGTTTTCATTTGTACAGATGAAAAACATTTCAACTATGGTAAGAAGGATCAAGATTCTTACTTCATTGTTTGAAGAAATTCAAGAAACATCATCCGCTGCAGCACGACTTCCACCATCTTCCATCCTTTGCTTGGCTGAACTTTCATGTGTCATACAAAAGGTAAAGCTGCTTATAGAAAGTTGCAAAGAGGGAAGCTCTTTGTGGAACCTCATGCAAACAGAGTTGATTTCCAACCAATTTCATGCACTCATCAAGGAGATGGACAACGCACTTGACATTTTACCTCTGAGGATGCTTAATGTGACTGTTGACACCAAGGAGCAAGTAGAGCTACTTCACAAGCAGGCGAAAAGGGCTGATTTGTTCATTGATCCCCGAGACATTCAGAAAAGGAAAGAGATTCTACACTTGATGGCTACTAACTGTGATAGGAAAAGCAAGAACAAAGGCCTCATTGACTTTGAGACGGTGAAACAGAGTCTCAATAGCATTGGTTTGAGAAGTTCATTGGACTATGAGGAAGAGATCGCAAAATTAAAGACACAAGCCGAGAAACAGGCAGGCACAGGTGGTCTTATTGCCGTCTCAAATATCAACAGCCTAATATCCTTGATGTCCTTGTCAAAAACTGCAATTTTAGAAGAAGAGTACCTCATGAATAGCCAAAATTTGAAGCAGACAACATCGATAAATGTTCTTCCTGATCAATCCTCGTCGTGTTATTCACTGGTTTCCGATGTCCCTGATGAATTACGCTGCCCAATTTCACTTGACTTGATAAGGGATCCCGTGATAGTAGCATCAGGTCATACTTATGATCGAAATTCAATTGCTCAGTGGATAAATTCAGGGCACCACACATGTCCAAGAAGTGGGCAGAAGCTCATACATATGGCTCTAATTCCCAACTATGCATTGAAAAGTCTAATACAACAATGGTGCCAAGACAACAACATCACAATAACAGAACCCAAATCAACTCCTTCAGATTCAGAGAGTAGCACCAGTAAAATTATGAAATATGACAAGGCCATTGACTACATTTCTGCAACTAAAGCTTCCATGGACGCAGTCAAAATGACAGCAGAGTTTTTAGTTGGGAAACTGGCAACAGGGTCTCCAGATATACAGAGAAAGGCAGCATATGAGCTAAGATTGCTCGCGAAATCTGGCATGGACAATCGCAGGATCATAGCTGAGTCTGGAGCAATTCCATTTCTGACGACTCTGCTAGATTCCCGCGATCCAAGAATCCAGGAGAATGCAGTCACAGCCTTACTCAATCTCTCAATACATGAGAATAACAAGATCCTGATTATGTCTGCTGGTGCTATCGACAGCTTAATTAGAGTTCTCCAATCTGGGCAAACAATGGAAGCAAGAGGAAATGCAGCAGCAGCAATCTTCAGCTTGTCTGTAATAGATGAATACAAGGTAATCATTGGGGCACGTCCCAAAGCCATTCCAGCTTTAGTTGGACTTCTAAAAGACGGAACTACAGCAGGGAAAAGGGATGCCGCCATAGCACTCTTTAATCTTGCAGTCTATGGTGCCAATAGGCAATGTATAGTGCTTGCTGGAGCTGTTCCCCTACTCATTGATCTTCTCATGGACGATAAGGCTGGTATAACTGATGATTCCTTGGCAGTTCTTTCCCTCATCTTGGGCTGCAATGAAGGGCTACAAGCACTAAGAAAGAGTAGAATCTTGGTGCCTCTTCTTGTTGATCTATTGAGATTTGGATCTTCAAAAGGGAAGGATCATTCGATAACACTTCTGCTAGGACTCTGCAAGGATACTGGAGAGGAGATAGTAGGAAGATTACTGATGAATCCAAGAAGTATTCCTTCTCTCCAGAGCTTGTCTGCTGATGGCTCTCTGAGAGCTCGAAGAAAGGCTGATGCTCTCCTAAGACTACTTAATAGATGCTGCTTTCAATCTCAGTAAGCCTGACAGATTAGAAAAATGAATAATGTGTTAACAAGAACGTAAATAGATGAAAATACTTTTCACCGTAGTTTATTGTTAGAACCTTTATCCCATTCACCTTCAACCTGATAACATCCAATCAAGTTGTAAAACCATTTTTTCATTAAAGCAACATTGAAATGCAAATTATTATGAGTCACTATACAGTTTCAGCTTTTGCTACATCAAAAACCTTCTGATATGACTATTAAAAGAAGAAAAGAAAAGATCAAGGGGGCAGGTGGGCAAAAGCACTGCCAAAGTGCAAATTAAATGGAGATTAGACAATAGAACTTTTGATCAAACAGCTCAAGATATAATTGCATTTCATGGTCCTCTGCCAATGATGACACCTTATTGCTTAGCATTAGTAACCAGAAAGGCAATCATGATAATAATAGCGAGTAAAATGCTTCTCTCCCAACTTCAACTCCCGGTAGAAACAGCGTTGTTCACATTTCACACACTAATTAGACCTTTGTAGTGGAAAGAAAAATCTGTAATTTGTTCACATTTTAGTTGCCTTGCTCTCTTTTTCCTCGAAAGATAGCACTGCAACTTCAGTCCAAAGAGAAGAGGTTATACCCAACTCCCATCAACCTAGAAACATAAAACTCAACATAGATAGGTCACGAGCATATATCTTTCATAGAATCGATCTTGTTACAGAAATCAAGAAGTATATAACAATGACCAGGAAACCTGGAGGGGAACTCAATTATTCACATTTATACAGGGGTTAAAAAGGAAAGAAAAATATACAACTGTGGTATTGAGGTTTGTAAAGTTGTGCTTGCACATGATTTACAACTAAATTACAAACAGCCTCAATCACTTTGTTATTATATGGCATTAAGACTCATTATCATAAAACTGATGCAGAGTCGAGTGGTTCAACTTTTGTTCAACCAAGCCTGAACCAGTTACAAGCCCCAGTTGTGAATCATGATTCACAAAAGTGGGTAGGTATCTGTCAATCCTCCTATAACTCCACCAATTCCAACTGAACATGGTTCCCCATTATCTTGTAGTTCCAAAACCAGCTTCCAGACTCCATCAACTTATTCTCAATAGGTTTAAGTTCAACAGCTAACCCTGAACAACAGGAACGCAATTAGTATATAAAACTCGGTATTTTCCACCTAAAAAATGGACACTAAATTTAAGCCAGTCGGTCTCAAACTTTACCAACAGAGAAGCAGTAATTACATATATACAGGTATGTACACAAAAATGTGTGAACAGAAGATTTCTATAAGAAAAATGATATTTTTTATCATTAACATTTAAACATTGAATGAACCCAAGAACAGACCATAATTGGAAGTCAGAAAATTTTCTGGGAAGTGGACTAAATATAAATCACTAAGATCATTTTCCAACTGAAGCATACGGCCCCAGGAGACTTGCATTTATTCAAGGTGCCTTTCTCAATCCCTCTCAAGACTTAACTCTATTTACCCCACATGTGCCTGCATCAATTACTGATTTCAGGCCTCATAGAACCTAGGTACATTTATTTACCCCATATTTTTGTGCTTGAGAATGTACATATACTAGTATCTGTATATACAATGTAATTACTACTACTATGTTAGAAAAGTTTTGGTTCATGTACGGTTATAAATGCAGGTACATACATACTCTTGTCAGCTTTCACCAGTGCAACACCTTTTCTAATAGTCTAACAAATACCTCACTAAGATGCTTATGCGAAAAGACGCAAAGAATAACTCTATTGACAATAATGTCCAAATTACTTTTAAGTGTCTAGAAGCGCCAATACCTAAAACCTGTATTAAAATGCTGGTTTGGTTTGGTTTGGTTTATCCAAAACGGTTTTTGATTATTTAAAAAGTGATAAGTAGAAAATTGGTTAAACATGGTTAGTTATTAAAGTGATTTTTGTACAATAGCATGACAAATTTTAATGCCAACATTAATAAATATGAAATGCCTCCGTAAGATGTATCTAACAAAATAATGCAAAAGTAAAACAAGCATATATTAAATATTCTAGAAACCTGAATCTCCAGTTGTTATCTTCATTTTGTAACCATCTGGAACTTCAAAAACATGATTACCCTGCATTCAGAAAAAACAAGATAAAGGAACAATTCAGCATCTGATAAATAAAACAAAAAAGCACAGTAACAGGATTTTCAATAGGGAAGGATTCATGAACAAGGAGGAGTCATGTAAGCCATATAGTTCAAGTTCCTTTTAACAGAAACACCAAATCATGGTAGCATGACTAAAGTTAATTATCAGCATAAGTGATATATATTATCTTGCCCTTTAGCTTCTTTATTTACTTTCAACAAACCCTCCCTCTTCCAAGGGCAATCTGGGACAGAAAACTATAACATACAACTTAACAGAGTCGTATTTGCATAAGTTGGTGATAACGTAACTCCCGAAGTACAACAAGAATTCACAACTACATTTTTGCAAGCTCAAATGCTAATCATATAATCTAAAGTCAAGCAAACCTGCAATATAACATCCACTGCTTCAAATTCAGCATTTCCGTGAAGTATAACCTTAACTGCCTCAAACCGCTGCACATCGTGCTTCCAGTATAAATTTTCTCTTGCATTCCAATCAATTCCATCATTCAATATCTTGACATTCTCCAGCTTACATCTCCCACACCTACATAGAGGATTTTATCATTAAATGTACATCTTCCAAACTAGTCAATTCAATAATCAAACAAATAGGTGGACTTCTACCTTTTTCCATAGTGAAGAACAGTTTCACCATTTTCATCGATCCTTGGAGAACCTAGAACATTCTCAGCTAAAATGATCAAACTCCCATCAAGCTGAAAAACAAAGCCAAGTAAATTGGTCATAACGAGCAGAAAAGTATGGCATGCCGCAGGAACCAAGAATCCTAACCTGCACATCTCTCCACAAGAACTCAGCAACCTCTATTAGCAACTCTGAACCCTTAGAGATAGAACCTCGATAGAACTAAGAGAGACAAAGCAAAAGAAAAGGTTACAACTTTCAGGATAGTAAAGCATGCCAGACTGGAATAGTGTAAATTGATTAATTATACTACTAGCATTTTGACGAAGGTAGACGAGTGCCAGGGAAAAACACAGTAGTATGTCCAATGATAAATAAGGTCTACATATCCTTTTTCATGGCCAATTTTCAAATCATAGTCATAGCTCTATGATCTGGAGGTTCCAGGGAAAAATTCAAGATCTGAGGGAGGACCGAAGTATAACAAAAAAATGCAAGTCAATGAAACACTTTAACAGAAAGGCAATTGCTGGATTACCTTCTGTCTGATTACTTCCCAAAGGGGGCCTAGAGCAGGATGGAGAAGAATTAGAAATGGAGGCCCAGAGTCAACATACTTCTCATTACCTTCAATCTGTAGATATATAAAAAGAGTATAAAGAAGTGTACTAATTTCAGAAGAAACAGGTGCTCTGAGGAATCAGGCGGGAATAAATTGTTCACTAATATAGTCACACACTAACCAAGTTCAAGTAACTAGATAATAGTACTCCAACAGGTACGGACACAAATGCCGAAAGTTTAGCCCAATAACATACCTTTGGAAGTTTGATCTCACAGTGAGAAAGAATATCATAGGCATTACGCATAATATCCAACAGCGATCCATCTGGAGTCTGCAAAGAGCAATTTCAATTCCAATGAGTTAAAGTAGTACTTCTGATCTCATCTAATTTCTGAAAAAGTAAACACAGCCATTAAATTACAGATTCACCAAAACTGTGATGTTAGACTTTGGGATTTGACTCTCATTACCAGAAATGTATTTCCATTATTTTCTTTTCCCTCGGCTGCAAATAACCTCATAAAATTGAGAGTTAATTAATTTCGGCCTCATTAACTTTGATTTGAACATTTTTTCTTTGGAGTGTCCATAACTATTTGTTACTTCACTAGAAGAAAAACTATTTTATACACATTGAGTGAATCAAATATTTTAAGTTGACGTTTTGGCATATATATTTTAACAAATCAAACTCTTAAAAAGTCTTTGTAATCAACTACAGATATTCAGCTTTTTCAACTTAATCCAAATATTGTTCAAACGGGCATAAACAATCTTAATCATTTGAAACCCAAAATGAACAACAAAAAGTGCAATTGATAATAACAACTAAACAATTAACAAGTTAGTAGTCAAGCATTTAACAGAGTACAACACATGCAATCTTTGCCTGAAAATATTCAGCACAATAGTGTTGTCTTGAAAGAGATTGCAGATATAGCATATTCGTGTGCGGTTAATTTTGTCAGCTTATTTATATATGTTACTTGGACCAAATATGTGAAGATACTTCAGTTGTTGCATGGCAGCAAACTTGAACTCATGACCTCTGCCTGCTCTACATTGTTAGACTGTGTGATCATTACATCTACAAGCTTACCGTGTATATCACATTTCAATTGTGGTAAAAAAAGACTTTAACTATTAGAAAAGGGACACTGTTGTTTATTGTTTTAGGTCAAGAATTTGCTTATCAGGGAAAACATGCTGCACGTTCCGGATTACTCAAAGAAGCTACTATATTATGTATAACCTGGTGAAGCGACGTGTCACCCTGTCTACGTTTCTTCTTGGCAGATGATGTCACCTTCTTTCTTTCATTGTATACAATAAAAGTATCCAGTTCATCTGCAATATAAGCAACATTAGCTCATTCAAAACTGCATCAATCCAGGTTATGATAAATGCTAAAATAAACTTCACTCAAGATAGCCGTGTTAGACCTTCAACACCATCATAACATTGAGATGAGCATGTATTGAAAAAGTTGTCAGCAAGGTTTTGCATTGTGCATTCAAGACGGCCACCTCGGACACTGGAATAGAAAGTAATATGCTTGCTTAGTAAAGAATTGCCATATCTGAATTATTGTTAATGAACTGAGAACTCGGTCAAATATGAAGCTACTGCAGGAAACAATTGATGATACAATGGGAAAACTTCCAAACGCAAGGATAAGAACTTCACACAGTCAAAAGTTAATAAAGGTAACTACATCCAAGAAAGAAAGCTAAGTAGATACTTCTTTCGGAACCATGGATCCATGGATAGAACCACTATAACTGATAGTCGGCCATAGATTAGGCAATGTATCTTGAGGAACCATTTCAGCCATTTCCTTGAGTGCTTTAAACAGTGCAGTCATTTGAAATTTTCTTTTTAGTTCAAAATACCAGTTTTTTAAGTGTTTTTGAAGTAGATGTCTAAACCTTTAAACAACTTCTAGTCATCCTCAAAATTCTTGATTGTTTTTTGAGCTATGCTTCAATTTTCATTTTTTGGGAAGAGTGACAGCGATGGCAGTTTGTCTTGATCCTAAAACTTCAAACAGAAAGATAATGATTTGACACGGCACTATAACAATTTAAAGTTAACTAGAGGAGCTATATATATTCATGAGAGCAAACTGACGTTGCAGAAGAGAATTACTATTGTTAAATTACAAGAGAACTACATAGAGACTTTACAACTCCCTATTCTTTCAAAAGGAAGTGGTGGCACAAACCAACTGTAAACTACCAGAGACAAACCTTGTCTTTACAGCTGATGTATACCCAAGGCACATGTGATATCCCATCAAGAATAAACTATAGGAAGTGTTATATATGACACAATCATCTTTTTTGAAGTCCAGCAGTTCAGAACATGGTGCTAGACCAGAAAATCACAAGGAGCAGCATACGGCCAAGTTATTAGTCAAACAAAATTAAATATACCAACTTTTCCTCAGATATTTCGCAAGAAACTATTTTTTTTAATATAGTGTAACATGCATCTGACACTAGCTTTATTGCGAGGA